GGAGACGTTGGGCTAGGCTTACCCTCTGAGCCTGCACAGCCCCGCAGGTCTCAGCGTGAGCGGCGAGCGCCATCGTACCTGGCTGATTATGACTGCAATAAAGTATTTGGTATTGACTACTGTATGTATTATCGATTAACTGTAAATATTTTGAACGATGGTGTTGTCTTAACTTAGGGGGGAGGAGTTGTAATGTATTGGAATCCTCACTTGAATCGGCCCATTTGCATTCAATGTTAAGCTTGAGCCGGATGAAGGCTCCTCTGAAGAACATTGCTATTGGTCGACCTCCACAGCGACCAATCAGAACTGTACAGTTCTCCAGGGAGGGAAAGACTCTCATTGGTTGTTAACTATGCAATCTTATTGGTTGTTAATTGTAAATAGGCGTGGCTATATTAGCCCGGGATTGTTTAAAAGGAGCCTAGCTCCCAATGTTAATCTGTTCTGGTTTCTTACTGAGTTGAGTGCTTGTTCGTTACTTCCAATAAAGCTGAATCACTTGCTGAATCACTCTAAGAGTCCTTTGTTAGTGCGATCTAACACTTGGAGTGACTGCAAGGCAGCAGCATGACCTTGAAATATTCCAAGGAAATTCACGAGGACTGCAGAATATCAACACACTTTTTCAGTCCCTTTCAGTTGTCCCATCTCCTCTTTTCTTCCTCCCCTTTCTTCTCTATAGTTTTAAAACTTTCCTTTTTATGCATAAATTCACAGCAGTTTTAGCACAGAAGTCTGTTTTCAAAGTGTGATGTATAAAAATGTTTAAAAGTATAAATGAAGTTAAGAGTTAAAGGAGAAGAAAACCAAGTTCTGTGCTTTGTTATTAGTGCTATAAAGGTGTGTGTGTGTTTTTCTCCTTTAGAAATCTAATAGCAGAGCAGGATGGTGGGAAACTGTTTCAAATAGCAAAAATGGGGTGAAGATTGAAAGGTTAAAACTTTTCCCTCTTCCACTGCCTCTGTACTTGGCACTGGAGATTTTTGGGGCCTTCGGTCTGCTTCATATTCACATTTCCAGAACCCCGCTGAGCAGAGCTCTGCTGGCTTAAGATTCATGAAGTTTATTCAGTTCTCAAAAGAATACAACAGAAGCCGGCGAGGAGCAGAACGGTGGGACGTTTTGCTGTTTCATTGTGGCTGGGTCAGTGCATGGAGGAGGCAAGATACAGGATGTGTTGAGAGAGGCTAATCTTTGCTCTTGCCCCACTCCCTTCGGCCTACCAATCAGCAACGGGCAGGCCCCATCAGTCCCCCTGAGTGCCTCCCCTGTCTGCCTCCTCTCCTCAACTGCCAACCCCAGAGAGAAGACAAGGGTCTGAATGATAAGATTTTCTCCATCCTACTTCTTCATTGTTCTGTGGGTTTGCTCTGCCCCTCAGTTCCTCTCCTCCTTTTGACTGCCTTATATCATTTCTCTCTCTCTCTGGATCTCTTAAGGAAACAGGCTTTATTTCTACCCTGAAAAGTGACTTCAAATCATTCTTGGGCTTTGTCGATCTTGGAGTTGAATGAAAATAACTCAGTGGGAATAACTTCCTGAAGCAGCTGAACATAGTGTGTAGGCCTCAGCTTCAGATAGCTCCTCAGGAATGGCTGTCCAAGGGCCACTGTCTGCTTGGCAGCGGGCCTTTGATAATTGTGTGAAGGCCTTGAGGCAGCCATCCCTTGAAAAACTTCCCAGAGAGCAGATGCAAGTGATGTATAAAAATATGGAGGAAGGCAACCAAGAGGGTTAGAGCACCTTCCCTATGAGGAAAGGCTGAAGAGTCTGGGACTTTTCAGTTTAGAAAAGAGACAACTAAGGGAGGACATGATAGAGATTTATAAATTTATGCATGGGATGGAGAGAGTTGACAAAGAGAATTTTGTCCCCTCTCCCAAAAGACTAGAACTCGAGGGCATCCAATGAAGCTGATGGGCAGTAGGTTCAGTATGGACAAAAAGAAATGCTTCCTTACACAGAGAGTGATTAAAATGTGGAATTTGCTGCCATAGGATTTATCGAAAGCCACAGGCACAGACAGCTTTAAAAAGGGATTAGACAGATTCATGGAGGCTAGGTCTATCAGTGGCTACTAGCCATGGTGACTAAAGGGAACCTCCATGTTCAGAGGCAGTCAACCTCTGAATCCCAGGGCCAGGGGACAATATCAGTGGAAGGCTTTGGCATCTAAGCCCTGTTATTAGACCTTCGGAAGAACTAGTTGGACACTATGTGAGACAGGATGCTGGACTAGGTGGACCACTGGCCTGATCCAGCGGGCTCTTCTTATGATAGCAGCCTCTGACAGCACAAAAAATGACATCCATTGGTAAGTTACACTCCTGTATCACCTGAGAGACCAACAAGATTTTGAGGGGAATAAGTTTTTTAAAAAATCAAAGCGCCCTTTGTCAGACATATGGATTGACAGGATACGTCTTGTATGACCTTTCTGTGTCAAAAATCTGGAAGGTCAAGATCCAACTGCTCTCGTCTCTCCTTGAACTACTTCACCACAATCCCTCACTACAGCCAACCAGTAAGACTGATACTAGATCTGGAATGAAACTCTGTACAAATTTGAAATAAATTGGACTGGCTGAATTTCGAACATTTGAGACTTCAGAAATCTGACTTCAAACACGGTCAAGATTCTATATATGGATTGAGAACTATTTGAAGTGATTTACGCTATAACCACCAGAAAACACAAATAGAAATATAAACGGTAGCCATCTATATATATAAAAGAAAGTCCCCTCACCGTAAAATCAACACCCAGGCCAAACCGCTGGACCTAGAAACACCAAATTCAGGGACAGTGTTCCTACCATGGCGTAGATGCTCTCTAAGTAGGGATTTTTAGAAATTCGACCCCTAAGTGGGTCAAAAGGGGGAAAATGTGCTCCCCCCATTGATTCCTATGTGACTGCCAGGCTGCTGCCTCCTTGCACCCCCCATTCTCTGATTGGTCAGCTGCAGAGCTCAGCGTTCTGAGGTAAAAAACAAACAAACAGTTACAAGGGACTTGTTGTTGTTGTTGTTCAGTCGCACAGTCGAGTCCGACTCTTCGCGACCCCGTGGACTAGATCCCGCCAGGCCCTCCTGTCTTCCGCTGTCCTCTGAAGTTTGCTCAGTTTCATGTTCGTTGCATCGATGACACTGTCCAACCATCTCATCCTTTGTCGTCCCCGTCTTCTTTGACCTTCAATCTTTCCCAGCATCAGGGTCTTCTCCAGTGAGTGCTCCCTTCTCATTTGGTGGCCAAAGTATTTGAGCTTCAGTTTCATTATCTGGCCTTCCAGAGAACAGTCAGGGTTGATTTCTTTTAGGATTGACTGATTGGATCTTCTTGCAGTCCAACTGCCTGTGAGGTGAAGCAAAGCTGCTGGCCCAGCCTCACTATGGCTTCAAACATGCTCCCCCCCTACACCTGACAGGCAGTTGTCTGTCAGGTGCAGCAGCAGTTGCAGGGTGCTTAAAGCCACGAGGGAGCCTGCCCCAGCAGTAACGCCTTAGTGATCCTGCCAGCCCCGCCTTCACAGTGGCCTCTAATACTCCTCCCCCTCCCCCTCCTACACTGGACAGGAGGCTGCCTGCTAGGTATAGGAGAGAAGGTGGGATGCTTATAGCCGACGGGGAGGTTTGCTCAGCAAGATTGTCTTAGCCCTGCTGCTGGCCCAGCCTCCCTGATGCCTTTAAACATAATCCCCCCAACACCAGACAGGCGGGTGTCTGTCAGGTGTAGGAGCAGGACCAGGGTACTTTAATCCATCAGGGATGCTGCCCCAGCAGAATCACCTTAGCGATGCTGCTGGCCCAGCCTCTCTGATGGCTTCCAACACACTTCCCCCACCTCCTACACCTAACAGGCAGTTGTTTGTCAGGTGCAGCAGCAATTGCAAGGTGCTTAAAGCCACGAGGGAGCCCGCCTCAGCAGTCTACAGAGAGGTCCTTCAGTAGAGAGAAAAAAGTACGTATGTCTCACTTCATTTTTTACACTACAATCTTCTCCATTAGAATTCCTACAACAAATGTTACATTTCAAACTTTACATCATCAGTATTATAACTGGATTTATGGAATTTAAATACCGTAGTGAAGCACGGGTATCAGGCTAGTGTGTGTGTGTGTGTCTCCAGATTAATGTTTTGTTTGTTTTGTGTGTGTTTTTGTTGATATTCGTGTTGTGTTGAAAAATAATAAAAATTATCCCCAAAAAGGTGTGTTTTAAAAACCTTGTTACTTTTTAGGTATTCATTTTTCAAATGAGCAGCCGCCATTCCACAGACATCTCTGCCCAAATTGGCATACATTTAAACTGGGCATATAATATAATATTAATTATAAAACGTAAGCGAATAAAGACTTCCCAGCAATACAATACAAATTCAGCTCACACTCAAACAGAAACTAAAAGGAAAGTTGAGAGACCAATATAAAATAATAACGTAAAGTCACCAGATCATTAAACTTCTTGTATTGCTTTCATTTTAAATGCGAACAAAAAAAATTGGACATTTTAAACAAGCAAATAGAAACTGGGAAAACTGGGGACAGCCCCCCCCCCCAATTTGGGAACTCTTAACTAAATGAATTTCAGTTAGTTTGCTTTCCCGCAATCAGCCCTCTATGCTGCTCATTATTAATTCTCATTCGGTATCTGTGAGGTCTCACGTTCGTCTAATGGTGATCACTTCCTTCCAAGAAGCTGAGAAGAGAAACCAAGAACTCTAGTTCCTAGTCTTTTGATTTACTGGAACCCCTGGCTTCTACTTCCTTTCTGTTGGGGGAACAGAACCAAGGAAGTACATTCTTATTCCAAATATTACTGCCACCCCCAGAGCAAAAACTGCCGTGTTCCTCTACCTATCTGTGAAACGGATATTCCCTTCGTGTTCTCTCTTTCCTCTGTAGCTACGTGCTCTTTGGTCAGGAGACAAGCTGTGAGTGAGAAGACCTTTGGGGAAAAATATCTCCTACCTCATGAAAGGTTATCCTTCTAAACTCACCCAGAGGAAGAGACAGTGCCAAGGTCCAAAGCCACAGCATGGTTCTTCAGTGCTTATTAAGTCAATTTTTTGTCTCTTCTGTGCAACGGAACAGTAAGGTCTTATGGGCTGAAGCGAACACAAGAGCTTTCTCCTTCCTGAATCAGCTTCCTCTTTTAGGAACATCACAAGAAAGAGCAAATTCTTTTGAAAGCTCGCCAGTAGTTCAGATGGAGTCCAGGTCTTGAGGGGACGTTTTGCTCCATTTAATAATTTTGAGGTGCTCAAACGCTTCATGTTTGCTCTCTGAAGACCAGACTACCTACATGTTCCCTTGGGGAACTGTGACCCAATTCTGACATCCCAAAGTGTAATTGAAGCTGGAGGAAAAGCCCAAAATGACCCCTACTTCAATCAGGGCCATTGGCACTGACAGAGGCAGTCTCAGCTAACAAGCAACAGGGGCACCTGCCCTGGGCCCCATGTTGGGGTGGGCGATTGCCTATGGCCCGACCCCCAAAGGAGAGGGTACAAGAACAGGCTCCTGCTGCCATTTGCCTCTGCCCCATCTGTAGGGTCACCAACCTCCAGGTGGTGGCTGGAGACCTCCCGTTATTACAACAGATCTCCAGGAGACAGAGATCAGTTCATCTGGAGAAAATGGCCACTTTGGAAGTTGGACTCTATGGTATTATGCCCACAAGCCCCGCCCACTCAGTCTCCACCCCCCAAATTTCCAGGTATTTCCCAATCCAGAGCTGGCTACCCTACCCACTTGGGGCTTGGGCATCTGGATTCCGGTTGCAGCAGCGGCTCCCTCCTACCTCGCACGTGGGGCCAGAGCCACCAGTAGCGTGGCCCTGCAAGCGGGGCCGACAGTGGGGTGGCAGTGATTCTGGAGTGTTGTCCAGGTCCTTAGACTCCCTAAGAGGGCACTGAGACGTCAAGGGAATCTCCCTCATCCCCCTGATAATTTTTTTGCCTAGCCACTGCATTTTTATCCTACCCTTTCTCCAAACAGTGGCATATATATTATTCCCTTCCCCGTTTTGTTCTCACAATGAACAGCAATCGCATGCCATGCTGTTATCTGGGTCTTGTATTATTAGGCTAATACGTTTATTGAATGCTTTTGCACTCTACTGTGCCCAGGAGTCTTTAGATAGAAATTATTTATCTATTTATTTATGTATTGGATTTTTTTATTCCGCCCTGCCTGAAGCAGGCTTAGGGCGGAGCACAACAAAACAGTCGGAAACTCTTTACAATAAAATTACATTACATTAAGATCATTAAAACAGTAAAATTCAAGAGGTAGTAGCAATTTCTTATCAAAAGACCAAAAGGAAATAAACAAGATCCAGCAAATTACAAACATGGAGGTCGTAAGCAAAGTAAAATATCTAGGAATCACGATTACAAACAAAAATAAACAGCTTTATGACAATAATTATAAAGTGTTATTAGAAGAAATTAAGAAAGATTAACAGAAAAGGCAAGATCTACACATTTCGTTCATGGGCAGAATTGCCACGATAAAAATGAACATTTTACCGCGTTTTTTGTTCTTAGCACAAACTTTACCGATACTAAAAAATAATAAATTCTCTGAAGAGTTAGATCGATTAGTAAGAAAATTTATTTGGCAGGCAAAGAGAGCAAGGATTAAACTGAAACTACTTCGAGATAAAAAAGAAAGAGGAGGGTTCGGTATTCCGGATTGGCAATTTTACTATAATGCAGCGGCCATGGGGTGGATAAGAGATTGGTTGCTATTAGAAGATAGAAGAATGCTAAAACTCGAAGGTCATGATCTATACATGGGCTGGCATGCCTATGTATGGTATGACAAAGAACGGACACAACAACATTTTCATAACCATATAGTAAGAGACGCATTAATAAAAGTCTGGAGAAAAGTAAAAGAAAAGTTCTATGACAAGATACCAAGATGGGTTTCGCCACTAGAGGCGTTTATAATGCCGAATCTAATGAGTGGAAGTAAGATGGTTGGTTATGAAGTACTACTAACAAAAGAAAATGAATTAAAATCTTTCGAAACCCTACAATCACTAAATATTAATCTAACAAATTGGGAAAAGAATCAGTTAAAATCAAGATTTGCTAAAGACAAAGTAAGAGACTTTGCAAGAACAACGTCGGAACTAGATAAAATATGGCTCTCCTCAGCAGACAAACTAATACAAAAATTATATAACTTCTTTTAAAGGAAGAAATGAAGGAAGAAACAATAAAACCATGCATGAGATTGTGGATGAAAGATCTGAGCCATGATATAAACATGGAAAAGTGGGCTAAAATGTGGAAATCAATAAAATTATTAAAGGCTACATCTTATAAAGAAAACATTTTTAAAACGCTCTACAGGTGGCATTGGTCACCAGATAAAGTAGCAAAATGTCATAAAAATGCCTCGGGAAACTTCTGGAGATGCAAGAAAAATATTGGTTCCTACTTCCACATTTGGTGGAGATGCGAGAAGTTAGCCAAATTTTGGAAAGCGATACAAAAACTAATAGTAGAAATAGTAGAAATAGACTTAAAGCTTGATCCAGAAATATACCTCCTTAACATTTTACCAGAAGGGATTAAATATAATGATTGATGTGAGATATTGTATATTCTCACTAGCTCCAGAATTCTCTTAGCGAAATGCTGGAAATCAGAAAAAATTCTGGATAGAGAAGAGTTAATTTCAAAAATTATGGAAATTAAAGAAATGGATAAACTAAATATGATACTGTTGGCAAAAGATGAAAGTTTGTTTTAAAAAAGATGGCAAAAATTAGATAGATGGATGGAAATGAATATGTAAAAAATCTCCAAAGGATAAGTTGTATTAAGAATTGATGTCTTGGTATGTTTGTTTTGGAAAACATGTAAATAAACTAAAATTAAAAAAAAGACCAAAAGTTGACAACCTTTGTAAACTGAACATACTATAGCCCTATGTAACAACGCCGGACATGGCCTCTCCCCATCGGACCTTGTACAGAAATTCCCGCCATCTGTTTATATTAGCACTTTATGTAATTGTTCTTATTGTGATTTTATTGTATTTATTGGTTTTATTGCATTTTAACTTGCATAAGCTGCATTGAGCCAGTTTACACCAGCAAGGCGGGATATAAATTGAAAGTAAATAAATAATTTTTTTTTTGCAAAGGTACACCCTCATGCCATCTATCTTGGTCTATGCATGGCCATCCGATCACTCAGGTAAACACCTTTCGAATGTCCATCCTCACAATGATCCTGACAGGAAGGGTATTTTTTTTAGTTTGGTTTAGGGAGTCTAAGGCTGCAGTCCCATGAGCAGTTTGTCGCAACATACTAGTGTTACCTGTGTGGATTTAAAGGGCTTGATCAGACGACAACATCTGCCTTCCATGGCCCAGTCATCGGCAGCCCGTCCCGCTCCATGTTAGAACCAGAGTAATCAGGCACTGGGGAAAGTCCAGTAGTAAGGGGTGGTAGGGCTTCCATTCTGTTTTGTCTGACGTCTGAACTCTCCCGGGGCAAAAGGAACCTGGAATGGAATTGTGAAGGGCAATTCTGGCTCATTCATGGGTTGTGGAGCTAGCTAATGGAAGCGATTGCTCGGTTATGCGCTTATGCGCATGCACAGTGGTGATGAAAAAACCAAACTCCCACCAGCACAGTGCGTCCCGTGGCTGACGTGCAGCACTACTGTGGATGCTTGGCCACAGGACAGCCATGCAGGTAAGTTGCAGCAAGGTGCGCTGTTTGGTTGGTATGCCCTGCAACACTTTATGCTGGTGCAATTTGAGGCACTGCCGTATCGCACCAAGCCACCAGTGTGACCGCTGCCCAACAGAGACTGACTGGCCCAAGGTCCCCCTACTGTGTCTTACAGCACCAGGTAAGTCTCCTCAGAGTCATGTTTAGTTTGACCTCAAGTAAATCTTAGAAGAACCCTCTCTAGGGTTACCAATCTCCAGGTGAGGCCTGGAGTTCTCCCAGGCTTGCAATTGATCTCCAGACTACAGAGATCTAGTCTCCTGGGAAAAAATGGCACCTTCAGGGGACGGACTGCATGGCTTCACATCCCCATTGAGCTCCCTGCCCTCCCTGGCCTCTCCAGTCCCAGCACCCAGATTAGCAAAAATGGCAAACCGATGTGAGACTCAGATTCCAGGTTGAGACTGAGGCTCAGTTGTGGCTTTACCTAAATCCTCCTAGTGAGTTCTTAGCAGTGGTGAGATTTAAACTGGGATATGAATGCATAAACTCTTTCCAGCCAAACTATGCATTGCACACAGATGGGGGTCAGGGGGAAGAGGAATTAATGGCATTTAGCAGCTGTGGATTTGTTCGTGCTGGACTCTTTGATTAAAGGAGGCATGAGGCAGCATTGGTCAGGGCTGAATGTTCCAGCCGAGGGGGAATGGCGGCAGGGCAGCTGCTTACAGGCTACACCAGTTTGATGTAGTGGTTAAGTGCGCGGACTCTAATCTGGGAGAGCTGGGTTTGATTCCCCACTCCTCCACTTGCAGCTGCTGGATGACCTTGGGCAAGCCATCGTTCTGTCAGAGCTGCCCTTGAAAAGAGCAGTTTCTGTCAGAGCTCTCTCAGCCCCACCTACCTCACAGGGTGTCTGTTGTGGGGAGGGGAAGGGAAAGGAGTTTGTAAGCTGCTCTGAGACTCCGAGTGAAGGGCAGGGTATAAGTCCAATCTCCCGCTCCTTTCCCCCCCCCCCAAATGGGCCTTCGCTGTGTGCTGCTGACCTACCAATTCGCCCCTGGGAGATCGCAGGATTAGGTGGTCACTTATAAAAGGCTGAGTGGGAATTTGGGGGGGTTTGGGGGGGGGGGCATTCTTCAGACCGGCTGTTGGGGGCACCGTATTCTGTTGCTTCACAATGTCACTACAGGGTGTATGTGTTAAAATGGATTAGGCCTAATCTTTGACCGGTTCGGCCATAACTAGTTGGCAGGAATAGGGAAGGTTGCTGGTGATAGGGAGGGATAAGTGACAAGTACTCTGAGACATCAGGTGTGTGCAGGGGTCATTTCATAGAAAAAGAGCTAGGGGGACTTATTAGCATAACT